CATCTGATCCATACCCTCCTGTATATATCCACAGCTCCTTTTGCCCAATGCCATTTTGTTGTATTTGTGTGCCTGCATGCATAATAATGCACACTTCCCATTCCATCAGTCACTCCCGTCTTCTCCTAACAGCCCCACCCTACCTAGTAATACTATCAGTTCTTGCAATATAATAAATGGTTCTGAAACAAGCCTAAACCTTCCACCCACAACTTTGGCTCTCACAAAGACATATTCTCAATCTTCTAGAGTTGCCAGCTTTTGGTTTTGGCAGTACTGCTGGTGTACCTTTAAGAGTAGCACCTCACACAAAAAATAAGCAGATGAAACTTTTCCTACTAGTCAAGGTAACACACTATAGCAGAAGTAGGTTTCTCTTGCAACATTTCTGTATGCATATTCTGGCCATAGTTACATTTAAAATAGGCACACCAAACATTCTCCCAATTCCTAACTATATCCCGTCAATTCCATGTTTTTTCCAGACATCTATACTGTATCCCCAGGAACTTATCTCAAGAGGAAAATAAATAAATCCTGATTAAAATGCAAAAAAAATATATCAAGGAAAAGCTGAGCCAGTTTTGTAAAAATACCACATTATTTATTTTGGGGATAAAATGCTTAACAGAGAGAGAAACAGAAAAAGAATTGCACTAAAGATGAATTATAAAGTTGTATATTTCCAAGCTTGGATTAAAATTACACATTCAAATATGTGGCTGGCTTGTTCTGTTCATTCTAGCTTATTTTTCCCGTGGCTTTTCTGGAGACCAACAGGCTTTTCAGTTCATAAATGCTCAAATCTATAACTAACAACCCATAATTACTCCATGGTGTTAGGGTTGGTTCACAGCTGCTTTCTTTCCCCCACCACTTTATCTCCTCCAGCACCTGAAGTCAGCTGCCCAACGTGGGGTCGAGATATGTAATTGGTACCATCAACAAGCATATTAATGATACTGAACCCCATGCCACCAAATGACCCCTCCCAATGGCTTATGTTAAGTATGAGGGGAGAGAAACCAGAGACTTGAGGCACACCCCATGGCAGAGGTGATGATCTAACTTTGATCAACATTACACTCAATCTCTCGTGTCTACGCAGATATCTCAATGACAATCCTCAGCCCTGACAGCATTGTGAGGATTTCCTGAAAAAAAAAATGCTTAGGAAAGGGTAGAAAGCTACCTTAAAGTGATGTGGTTGTGTAACAATTCTAAGAGGATAGCTTTATGTGAGGTATTAAAACTTCTCGCCCCAAAAGGTACACAGCCACACTCCTTTATCAGATTTATGACAGCAATAACATACATAAAACATCTGCCAAACTATTCTCCTTTCCAGGTGATATTATCTGTCTGCTACTTGGTGGTGAGCTTTAACTAACCAGATGCAAGATGTGTGAAAGCCATTCGGCTTGAATTTATTCTTAAGAAGTACCATCTGTCTGAAAAAGAGCTATTAAATATAGGCTCCTTGTCTGGTTTGCAATACAATTCTGTGGCTGGACGTCATTAATTGCAACCTGACTAACAGGTGCTTGCCAATTTCTTTAAATTCTTAGTATATATGAAAGACTTAAATTTCCCCCTGGCTGAAAAGGTGACACTTTCTTTCAACTGCACGTTATGAGAAGTGTGTGGTGGAAATCATAATTTTGGGATAAAATTAGAAGAAGAGTTCCTTTTATTAAATCTTTTGTAAGGTATCTGTGTTTGAGATTGCAATGTACGATATGAAATCATTGTGTATTATGCTTCAATGTTCTACTTACCTGTGATTATATGTCATAAGCAAGCTGCATTTTCAATTAAGCAAAGCAATTCATTATGAGCAGATATACATAACTTCTTGATTATCACTGGCTTGCACACAGGGTCATCCTCAACCATATTCTTTGAAGGATGGACTAGGTTTTGTCATGAAAGGGGTTCTGAACAGATCCTTTCCCCAATGGCATCTTTCGTTAAGTTCCAGACTGTCTCTGTCTCAGTCAAAGAAATCTCAAAATACACACTGCCATTTTTCCATCTGCTATAGTGTCAAATCCTTTTCACTAGATTTACTATTCTGTTTAACCAGTGTAAGACTTTTCAACCTCATATTTTAAAAAGAAAAATCAAAACATGGGCCAACTTCTGTTGTAAGTTTTGGTTTTTTTTAAAAAAAAGTTACCAAAAGAATATAACATCCAGTGTAAAGCTTCTGAAAAGATTTTCATTTTACTAACATCTCACCAGAGCTCCTGGTTCATCCAAACTTATAATGGTGATTTGTCTTAGATCGCAGAACCGGCAGTGACCTAGGCCGGCTGCGCCCCCGAACCAGTTCCTCGGTCTCTTCTGTCATTGCTGCCATTTTTTAGTCAACTGTGCATGCACTAGCAATGTGGGGGCGACGCGAAGCAAACTGGTACCAATTGGTACAAGAACCCACCCCTGCATCTAACAAACACATGGTTGGCTCAGGAATTCTGGGATTTGAAGTCCACAGGTCATAAAGTTGCCATCATTGCCCATTCCTAACCTAATAGCAAAAACTTAACAAAATGAAGTTGAACTAAGCCTCTTTAAGCATTGAGTAGCTTGCTACTAGGATTACATTTTCACAAGCAGAGAAAAACACTATATCCCAAATCTCCAAGCTATCAGCCACAATCAATGGGACAGTGACAAATTTCTTTAGAATTTGCTGAACACCTTAAAAGAAAAAGATCACATTGCTTCTGGGGCAAAAGAAATTTGATCTCGGAGAATGTCACTCAAATTCCCTTATATGCTGAAAGAGCTCACTGAATTCATTGTTGAGTTATGCTGACTAGGTGCACAAAAATGAGGAGGTATACACTAATCACTTTTCCTTGTGTTATGTGCTTGGCAACATGTGAACACAGATGAATTGATGCCAAGTTTATTTAAGCAAAAGATAAATTTGATTCTTTCACAGGCCACTTTAGAGATCTGCAAAAGATATACCGTATATTATGATGGTCAGGCTGGCATGTGTGCAATCCAGTGACTCCCCTTGTATATTTTCAATTCACCAGGAGTTAATTCCCTTCTTGTCTAATTCCCTTTAGTATTCAATAACCCAGCCTACAAAACACACTGCAAGATAATTTCCTTATATACCCACAAATAAAATTATCCAGTCCAAATATTTGACAAACATGTATTTAAATAATTAATGGCAAACATTGACAAATCTTCATATATTTTAATCTTTTTACAATTAGGCTATATAGCTAGTTTTCTCTGTTGCTACTTTATGAGTTTATTTAAAATTAACTAACCTATAAAAAGAAATAGAGAAATTATTTTAATAGATTACTGATTGGTCAGAATCGGTATATATTTGTATATGATTTTTTGTCACTTCCCAAAGTCTCCTTTGTGGTGTTGGGGAGAGAAGATAAAGCAGGTTCTATCTAAAAATCAACTCATGTCCTTTCTACATTTTATGAGTTAGGATTTCGTTCAAGTTATGATTTCATAACAGTCAATGGTGAAGGTGAGAAAATTTGCTGCACCTTAACAGCAAGAAAGCAAAGATAATGACAACTGCAGAAAACACACATGTCAGAGTACAGATCAACAATGACACCATCGAAAGAGTAAAGGAATTCATCTTCCTGAGCTCAAAAATTGACCAAAGTGGTGACTACCGCCTTGAGATCAGAAAGTGTATAGCACTTGGAAGAACTGCAGTATCCGGCATAAATAACATCTGGAATAGTAAAGACATCAGTCTCACAACCAAATGCAGATTAATTAATGCAATAATTTTTCCAATTGCTACTATGGCTCCGAAACTCTGAAAAAGGCAGATAGGAGAAGGGTGGATATCTTTGAATTGTGATGTTGGAAGGGACTATTACACATCCCCTGGCTGCAAAAATAACAAACAAAGAAGTCCTAGATCAAACCTCACTGAAAATATATCTTGAAGCCAAGTTCACCAAACAGAAGCTGTCATACTTTGGTCATGCCATGAGAGCTGACCAACTCAAAAAGCCAATCATGCTAGGAGGGATCAGCAGAAAAAGAAGGGGCTGTCCTGGTATCTGCTGACTGGACACTAAAAGAATGACATCAGGATGACCATGGCGGATTTGAAGAAGTGGTGCGAGACAGAGGGGCATAGAGAGTGCTTATCCAAAGAGTGGCTGAACAGAATAACTGAATGGATGATGACGATTTCATTCATTCTTTCCATTTGTTACATAAAGAAGTGGAATAGACACATTATACTCATAATTAAAGACAGGAATATTTGGTGGGGGGGAGGGAGCCGAGGTGGCGCAGTGGTTAGGGTGCAGTACTGCAGGCCACTTCAGCTGTCTGTTATCTGCAGTTCAGCGGTTCTAATCTCACCAGCTCAAGGTTGACTCAGCCTTCCATCCTTCCGAGGTGGGTGAAATGAGGACCCAGACTGTGGGGGCGATATGCTGACTCTGTAAACCGCTTAGAGAGGGCTGAAAGCCCTATGAAGCGGTATATAAGTCTAACTGCTTTGCTATTGCTATTAAACAATTAAGATGGTGTCCACAGTCATGTGATCAAAGCCCAACCCCTTTTTACATGTGTCACATGCATAGCTTTCCTAAAAGGAGTGGGGCATCAATCACAAATCAAGTCATTATCTTGACAATTTTGACTTCTACGTCCTCTGGCAACTTCCCCTCCCCTCCCACTCCCTTCCAGCTTCTTGGTTACCCTATTTGCAGCTAGTGCTATCTCTATCACTTTCAATTCCATCTGCTCTACATCTGAATGCAAGCTGACCTCTCCATTTCAAAGAAAATTATATGGGTGAGGAAGACTACTTCTTCCTCATAGCTTATCCCCCTGTTAGGCATTGACAAAAGTACACCCAATTCACTTGCTGCCAATCTCTGCAGTAAGTGTGGCACACACTGTGGCAGCATAGCTGGCTGAGAAATTCTGGGAGTTGAAGTCCACAAGTCTTAAAGTTGCCAAGTTTGGAGATCCCCCAGTCAAGACCTAGAGCTATTGGCATGAGAAGAACACTTTTGTGGCTCCACAAATCTGGAGATTTCAGTACTTTTGCTACCCATAATACTTGCTCTCCCTTCCTTTCTGTGTACAGGAGAGTGTTGTGAACATGCGGTTGAAGGTGCCGTATTAAGAATAAGAGCCTACAAATTGAGAAACAAATTTTTTTAGGCACTGAAGAAATGAGAGATTTTCTTTGGCTCTAACCCTTGATTACCTTTCCTTCCTCTTCTGTTTCCTGTGTACAAAGCCTCAGTGCTCTTGTGCTGACAAAACCTCGTAGTACATGAACATGAAAATATTTTCTACAGTCATATCAAACAGAGAAATGAAATGAGTCGCCTCAGGCTGCACAGGATGTTAGTGGGAGGGCAGGATTTGAAACCCCAAATCTTAAAATTCCCAGAACAGAAGGATCTTTTTCCTCCTTTGAAATAACACGGAGGAAAGAACTGAATATCTGAAGAGGATTATGTTTAGTAACACTTCTTTATAGGACAAGGCATGGAGTACTTTGCCAAGCATTACATCACCAGGCCAATTAACCACCACCTTTGATTAGCCACTCTTCTCAAACATTTTTAGCACTTTCTAGGTGTGTCAGCTCATCTCACTCTTCAAGCATTTAGAAATCCTTGTGATAACTGGAGGCTGCTATGGTAGCCAAACACTCAAACAAGTGAAGAGCAAACGTGTAGGAGTATGAAACTACAAAAAATGTGTAGGTGACTTCTTGTACTTTCACTCTGAAGTACAACGTACCAGAGGTGCCTCCATATAAACAGGTGATAGTCATCACAGTGCTGCTGGGGTACAATGATTCTCAGAAAGGAGAAGTAGTTAGTTGAACGAAGAACAAAGCGTGAATTAGTGTGCCACTTAAGTGCATATAATGGTACCACAACCATCTGATATGGCAGCAAGGATATTGGACATCCTTACTATTTCCCCTGGAAGGGTGATATTTAGTCATGTATGCTCAGCCAAAACATGTTCAGAATTTTACTACTGTATATTGAAAAGGAGTGATGAAGGAGAATAATTTCTAGGTTGGAAACTATTGAACCAATACAGAAATTAACTCTGGTAAATTAATAGGGACTGTTGTAATATGGGACAAGAGAGGATATTAACAGTGGATGTAATATTTAACGCCTCCCCAATCCTGTGTTAAGGTACATTTCTTATGATCATTTTTTATACTCACTCATAAAATGAATGTAGGAAATGGTCATAGACTCACTCTGAGGCTTTACCCATGATGATACAGCCGTGATCTATTGTCATGATTAGATTGTTTTCTTCTTGTAACACGGTTGTGGGGAGGTTGATATCATCACCACTGCTGTGAGTGGGATGTCTTTGTCCAATTGTTTCTTTCAAACTCTACAGACTACTTTGGTAATATTTCAGAAGGAAAAACACTGTATTTGTTGTGTTCAGCTAAGCTCTTTGCTTAGCCCCTGTCTTGGTACTACCTCTTCTGGTTGTGCTCTTTGATAGTTTACAGATTTCCTATTTTTTTCAGAAAATGCCCACGGTTGCATGCACTACAAGGTCTGCCTGTTTGTATTCCTTGAGGGCAGTGGTGAAATTCAAATTGTTTTACTACTGGTTCTGTGGGCGGGGCAGGGGAAGCATACTGCAAAATCACCATTCCCACCCCACTCTGGGGCCAGACAGAGGCGGCATTTGCCGGTTCTCTGAACTACTTAAAATGTCCGTTACCGGTTCTCCAGAACCTGTCAGAACTTGCTGAATTTCACCCCTGCTTGAGGGGCTTAATTTTATATATAAGCTGGGCCAACTGTTTACATCCCTGGCATGGTACATCTCTGGACAGTGTGAATGTTCAGATACTACAGGTAGTCCTTGACTGCAAACAGTTTGTTTAGTGACTGTTCAAAGTTACAATGGCACTGAAAAACGTGATGACGGTTTTTCAGAGTTTTGACTTTGCAGCACCCTCATGATCATGTGACCAAAATTCAAATGCTTGGCAACTGACATGTGTTGATTTCAAATGCAGTGTCCCAAGATCATGTGATCACCTTTTGCAACCTTCTTGCAAGCAAAGTCAATGGGTCAAAGCCAGATTCACTTAACAACCAGGATAACTGACTTATCAGCTGCAGTGATTCACTGAACACTGAGGCAAGAAAAGTCTTAAAATGGGACAAAGCTCATTTTAAAAATGTCTTACTTAACAATCTAAATTTTGGGCTCAGTTGTGCTGACAAGCCTGCCATATAGGCAAAAAGTACCAGGGGCAGGTGTGGAGGGGAAGCCTTCAAAATCTTGTTATATTTCACACAAAACAAGCACATCATCTGTCGCCTGGAATGAAAAACAGGAGGAAGTTCTGCATCATTCCACTGATCAGGATTTTGCTTTCCTTTTTTCCTTCCGACATTTCCCTTTTTTCTTTTCCACAATTCTATCTAAATACAACATGTATCACGTTTTATTTTATTTCCACACACTGTAGAAAGAGATTGCAGAGAGGGGTTGGTTCCTGGATACATTCAACTCAATTAAATGTTGGCACTGCATTTTGTTTTTTTCCAATCACTGAGTGGAAATTTTAAATGTCAAATTGGCTATTGTGAATTAGCACCTCCCATCTACAGTATATTTCCTCACACAAGGCAGTTAGCAAAATATGTCCTAAGAAACAAGGGCACTGTATAAATTTCATTTTAAATATCATGTGTAAAATTGAGACAGAAAGAGAAGATGTTGTAACAGTGAACCATGCTAAGAGTACTTCATGCTAATATATTAGCTAAATCAAACTGACTGGCACAATTTTTGCTGGATGTCTCCTTTGAATTTAGAATTTTCAATTGCTTTGGAGCTTTCAACACTCACAAAAAATAGCAATGTTCAAAAATACAACTCTGAATTTAAAACCAAAGGGAGCAAAAATAATAAATTATATTTATATCAAAGTATAATGAAATCAATATCCAATGGATATTTATGAGGAGGAAATTCTAACAAGAGGACATCACCATAGAAATTGGGATGGAGATATATTTTTTTTGTTCAATTCTATTAAGCCTTTCAAGAAGCCAAAATGCATTTATACAGAGAAATGAGTACTTTTCAAAAGTATATGTTCAACATTATGCTTTGCAATTCAAAGCATGGATACAGATATCTGCACACTAAAAATATTGTAACTAAATATGCACGTTATTTTAGAAGGTACAAAATTTATCAGAAGGATATCACTTGCAAATAGCACATATGCAAAAGAATGTATTCAAATGTGTACAATGGAGAAGCAGGAAGGGTGTGTGTGTGTGTGAAATAGGCAGAAATGAATCTATAGTTAAGAATATGAAGAAATCCAATATAAAGAACTTTGCGCCCTCCATACACACACACACACACACCACCTTTATTATTGTTTTTTAAATTAGGCTGTGAATATACTAATACTCTTTTATCCCCCTTCCTTTTTCCCGCAACAACCACTCTGTAAGGAAAGCTGGGTTGAGAGGGCCCAAAGTCACCCAGCTAATCTTTCATGTCTAAGATAGAACTAGAACACACACTCTGCTGGTTTCTAGCCTGACACATTACTTTATAGTTCATCTTGGGTTATTAGTTATGATAATAAAGAAACATATGAAGCCGTGGGTAAATAAAATTAACATTGATAAGTCAATACATTTTATGCTTGCTTTTTTGGGCCATTAAATTTTGGATTAAAGCCAGCAGATGGGTTGATTTGAAGTAATAGCTCATTACAGTGGAACTCTAATATCAGATATACAACCAGATAATAATCAGTTAGGGATGCATATCTGGATCTGGATTTCTTAAACCTCCAATATGCAAACACCACAGTGTTTTTGCTGGGAATGTTTTTGCATATTATCATAATGAAAAGGGGTAGACTTATAGGCTAGTTTACTTGCATTGAATTATAAGGTGTGATGAATCCCTTGGCTAGTTTCTTGGAACCCCAAGCCTCAGATGAAAACTGCACCTCCTCCATAACAATACCGTTCATTCACTTTAGGAACCAAGCTAGTTCAACATACAAGAACAAGGAAACAACAGATTCTGCCTTGAACTGGCCCCATAGAAGTTGGTCATCAGGGGTGGGTTCCGGCTTCTGTTACTGCCAGTTCGCTCAGGGATGCGCTTCATGTGCGTGCGTGCTTGATGCATTATGCGTGCATGCGCAGTAGTGAAAAAAAATGCTTCTGTGCATGTGCAGAAGTAAAAAACAAGATAGTGGCGCTTACGGCACCGCCGATAGAACCAGTTTGGGGGCGTGGCCAGCCAAGTTACTACCTACTCAGCCGAACTGGGCCGAACTGGTAGGAACCGACCTCTGTTGTCATATACTGAGACCTTTCATATAATACTATATAATACTAAGAGTTCCAGAAGCAACCACCATTTCTATCATAAAGTATGAAATGTCCATCAAGCACATTCAGGCCTTTGCAGCCCTTGGTCGAACAAATAAGCCTTTTTCCATCCACCAAAACAGAGTACATACTTACATTCAATAGAAGGTCATTTTATTTGCCTTATTAAGGACGTTGGTTTTAAAAGAAATACACACGTTGCCAAGAATAATGCTATTACCTGCACCACTGGATGTCCCCCAGCAGACGCCTTGACAGCTCCTCGACTGCCTTCCGTCTCATAATGGGCTCGGTGATGGGACTTCGGCTGCACTTCAATCCGAAGTTCATAAGGTCCTGAGTGAGATGGCAACTGCCAATCCAAGGCAGGCAGAGATGGGCTATAATAGAGAACAGTAGGAATTAAATATTAACCACCGTTCTGCTATCATAAACCACAAGAATCTGGCACTATTACTTTAGAGGCCACTTTTAGCAGATTATCCGTCACCATCTTACATTTAAAATTTCATCAATGGAGATAATGGTATGACATAAGTAATTTAAAAGGTAATGGTTATTTCATGAAGATTTATGGATGACACAGATTAGATAGGCCAAATGCTATCAGATGCTTAAACAAAATGGAAAACATTTTAAGCTTGGCTTAAAAAGAATTAAAAATACAATACATTAAGACATCAACCCATTAATCATAATAGATAAAGGATGATTGTAAGATGTGGAAAAATACCCCCCCCCCAAATCTATTTTGTGCAGAAATAGCCTTCGGGGAATATCAGTACTTCAGTTCCTTCAATTTGTATTCAATAAACTTCACCTTTTGAACAAACTTGTCAGCAATAAAAATTCTTCTGCTAACAATTTCTGAAAATCCCAATCAGCCCCACAAATTGACCCAATAAAAAGGTCTCTTTCCGTTAACACTATCATTTTATTTATTACCAGGCAAGAATATAAAACTTGCAGGCTGAGGACCAGACAGAAGACACAAAGGTTGAATGTGGCTCCTGGATGGTTGCCCAATTATTATATTTTATGTAATATAAAGGAGAAATTTTAAATCCAATGAGAATGATAACATCAAATGGTTTAAATTAAATTGTAAGTCAATTTAAATTTAAATTTGCCAGAACAAATTTGTGTTTTCTTCCTTAGGGAAACCAAATGCCGACTGACTTCGGTTAATGATAATCTACTCATTTGAATGTAGGTGGATGGGTCTTCAGTTTTCCAGTTATAGCTGACCTAGAACTCCCAGTGGTTTTAACCAAACAACCAACATGTCAATGATGGAGAATGTTAGTAGCTATAATTCAACAAGTTCTAAAGGGCCAAAGATTCTCCATTTTAGTTTTAAATGGTTTTCAAGATATGATACAGTAGTGCAAGACTAGAAAACTTTCACATAAGATCTCTTAATATATGGCTAACAGTGAATGTACACAATAAAACACCATAGAATGTTAGTTGGATTTTTCAGTGGCTGTTCTAAGCACAAGTCATTCTTACTTATACTGTTACAAATTTTGTGTCATTGATCAAGATCTGAATGATGTTTCTATGTGCATTTATTCAAGTGTAAACATATGTCTATCTGCCAGCAAGGACCATGCTATGTCAAGATTGGAGGAAGATGGATTTGCAGTCATTTGAGCATCTCCTTATTCAACATGGGGAGATCAGGTACCATAGTTAAAATATTTTCAATTTTGTTCAAAATCTGCATAGGTAGCCATGTCTAAGCTAACCAGTATCAAACCTATGGAGTGGAAAATATATCCCATAACCAAGAAGACACAACTACGAAGGTTTGGTGTCTCATCACAGAAATACTTTGACTCATAATCTAAAAAGAATTGAAGAAAAAAGCAATCTCCTATCAGAATTGGCATTTCTTGCAATAATAAGATCCCCCATCCTGCTTTTTCAGGTTTTACATGTCAAAGGTGCATACAAGCCTTCCTGTTCTTCAAACTCCTGATTGCCACGGTGTCTGTTTGTCTGTAGCAAAAACTTTTTCGCAGTCTTTCCTTTTTCAATGAAATTCACAACTGCATTCCTCCCATGGCCCATGGGAATGTAGTATTTAGTAGCCTGCATATAGGTGACTAAGGTAGGCTTCATTATTAAGCATAACTGGAAAATTACAAAGATTCATCCCACTTCATGCAATGGTTTGTTACATATGCCGACATTTGAAACATTCCTGGATAATTATCTGGAGAGATCCCACTTGACTACAGAATAATTTATATAATATAAAGCAGCTGTATATTTCCTGGTGATGATCACTGTATATTATGAAACAGATGTTTCTATTCTTTAGCCAGTTCATATATAAGATGGGTTTTTCATCCCCCCACCTCCACCCCTTGGAGGAATGAAAATACACACACACATATACACACACCGTATTTTCAGAAAATAAGACGGGGTCTTATTTTCCTTTCACCTCCGAAATAAGCAATTGGCCTTATTTTCGGGAAGGTCTTATTATTTTTGAGGTGCAGGAGGCGGTGAGCATGGTTACCTCATGGCTGCTGCTGTGTTGCAATATTTTCAGGGAGGGCTTATTTTCAGGGGAGGGCTTATTTTAGTGCATGCGCTCAAAAGCCCCATTGGGCTTATTATCCGGGGAGGTCTTATTTTCAGGGAAACAGTGTGTGTGGTGTGGTGTGTGTGTGTGTGTGTGAAACATGGGTGGTATTTCTTCCTTTAAAAGCACTAATCTATCAATCAGAATAATGGTGCAAGTGCTTTAAATTTTAAGAGAGAGAAAAGAATGAAAATGGAAACTAACCTTACAAATCTGTGTATACATGTGAGTTTATGCCTACACACACACATATATACAAACATCATTATCTCTGTTTAGATCTCAGAACAGTACCAGAGACCTTGATTAAAAGGAGAGTTGCTGATTTTGTAGAAAACAGCCACACAAGTTCACATTTAATTAAAATTCTAATGCAAGCATGGATGAATAACAACACTAAATTGGTAATCATATCTGGAGTAATTCCACTGGAATTAATTGGGCCCAACATGACTAAGTTAAACTTCATTGGTTTCAACAGGTATCCTTCAGGGAAGGGCAGACTTCAGAATTGCCCATCTTTGTTTTCATAAGGCGGCTGAAATGCATCATCTGGAGACTAATGCAGAAGACATTCAGTTAGAATGAAGTGACTAGAGTGAGTCCAAGAACTGGAGATTAGATCTGAATATGAGAAGTGAATAGAATTCAGTTCTTCTCCACAAATATTCACTTTGGTTTATATGAAGCTTTCCTGGTTTCAGCCCTATAATTTAGGACAAGACATAATGTCACTTTATCATTGGTACTGTCAAACATTTGGGAGTCAGACAGCTTCACTCATTTCCTACAAATGTTTTAGAGGCCTATCAGTTGACCCTAAATGACTTTCTCCTAACCTCTAAGTATTATGGCTGTGCAGCTTTTGGGTTTGAAGGCTGTGTGCTCATAAAAGAAGACATTCTTTTTCCTTTGGAGATGAAGCCCACCTCAGTCCAATAAGGTATTTTAAGAGTACGTCTAAAATATAGTATTTGCATGAAGCAAATGTGATTGACACTCATGTAGCATCCTGAAACGGGATCGACTGCAGTGTCCTGCTGACTTTTGCTAAGGAAAATGTGGGTTTTCTAGTTGTTCAGGAGCCTTGGAAGATTTTTATTTAATTCAGCTAGGTCGATTCAGATGCTGTTTATTAAGAAAAAGCTGCAAGATACATTACAAGTTGTGTCGATTATCATCCAACTATTTATGATATTACAAGTTTTCTGTCAGGAGAAAAGAAGGAACAAGGTAAACAGCTGTGAAGAAGTCCAAATAAAACAGAACAAAGATAGCCACTACCGCAATAGCCAAAAAATGCCAATAATATAATGATAGTAGAATAAACTGATGAGATAGCAAAATGGGAGAGGGGGGGGGGGAGCCACAAGCAATTGCTTGTATGCCATGTCAAACAATAAAATAATTTCAGCTGTGATTATTTCTGGCATAAGAAAGTTGTTCTCATTGTTGGACCTTCTGGCACACAAGGTACACATTTTACGCAGTGGGATCAGGACATTCTGCTGACTGTTTATCATCTAATGAAAATGTGGTTTGAGTAAAACAACTCAGAGCTGTTAAATGTCCTCCCCAATCCATGTGTTTAAAGTATCAAGAGAATAGGCATATGATCAATGTATTGCAACCATGAAAAGTGAACACATTCTGAAAAAAATTACATTGAGCACATCAATGTGATTCAGTACCAATGGTACTGTATTTGTTGTAGATGATGCAACTGACTTATGAAAACACATATCCTGAACAGCAACATGTAAGACATTTTTGTAAAAACATGCCAGTCAGTTCATCTTGTCATGTTAAACAAAAAGGTTTGAATAGTTGATTTCACAATACTATGCAGAAAGAGAAGCAATATTCACAGAGGTGTTGGCAGATTTATTTCTTATAGATAACTAATAAAACCTGAGAGGTATAATAAGCTGGTCTCCAATCAAAATTTAAAACACTACTAAACCACTCCACTCAAAAAACAATGTAAAATGCCTTGATGGTCACAACCCTACCATCTATTTGAACTAAATATCAATTTAATATGAAGATTCATATAAGTGTATTTTACTGGTTTCTACCCTGGGCTTGTTAATAAGTACCACTGAATGTGTCAGTATCTGTTTTTAAATTAACATACATTGTGTGACTGTGGAAGGACTAATTTTGGATTCTGGAATAAATTTACCTTGTTCTCAACAATATGGGGAGAGGTATCTCCGCATTTCTTCAATGGGTAAGAAAAATATAGCTTGCACCTTCTCACTGACATTTAGGTTTATTCTTTTCTCTACTGTAATCCATCCTTTGCATTGAGAAAGGAATATAAAGCTGAGCTTATGCATCAATAGATTTATAGGTCCCCAGAAAAAATCAGGTTTCTTAATAATTCCATAGAAAATACTGTAAATTACTGCTTATTACTACAACTGCATTTATACCTATTCTTATGGAAATAAATCCTATGGATCTCAATTACAAATTAATTCTGTGAAGAAATTCATGAGTTATACAGCTTCCTGGAAGTTTAAAAAGCACCAAGATTTTTAATGATAAAAGAAATATACTTTAATGACAAACACAATAATGAAAATAATATCAACGCTTATATACTGCACATCAAATTCTTCAAGAGAAAAATCTGAGAGATATATTCCATAATCATATGTACTATAAGTTAAGAACCAACCAATTTGTAAAAAAAAAACCCATCCTTTTCAACAGACGTTTTCGGGGGCTCAATTTCAGACCCAATTATAATCCATGGTTGGTTGATAAGAACAT